GCGCTGGCCATAGGAGCGCGCCAGGAGGCGAGAGCCTTGGAGAGGCGGGAAGGGACAGGGGAACGTTGGAAGGAGTTCCGCATTCCAGACATTCCAGAGCCAACTTTCCCCCCGGCAGTGCCGAGGGACATCGGAACAGCGCGCGCGCGCAGTTTCAAAGCCCAGTGAGGGGGGAAAGAAGGAGGGAAAACGCGCCCGGAAATGCTATCTCTGCCAACAGCCAGGTCACTTTGCCAGAGTCTGCCCCCAGAGGAAGGAATGGCAAGGGATGGTAGGAGCTGTGGAGGAAAGAGAGGAAGCAATACCGGAGCAAGTAAAAGCCAACGCCTGGCTGCCACCGTCGGGGCACAGCAGCCAGGCCAAAGAGCAGTGAGAGTGCCCACGCCAGAACCTCCTAAACCCGCCCTAGTGATAGAAGTGGCGCTAGAGCTGCCAAACGGACACCCTCTAAAGATAAAGGCGCTGTTGGACTCAGGCAGCTCCTGCAATTTCATGAGCAAAGAGTTTGCAGCTGAACACCAGATACAGACGATCCCTTTAAGCAGCCCCCTGCAGGTGACCACGATCGATGGCAGGGAGCTGTTGGGAGGAGAAGTCAGCTTGCAGACCGTCCCAATGATAATGAAGGTGGCAAGGCACACCGAACTGATCGCGTTTAATGTGGCCACCTTGGGAGGAGCTCCCATTATATTGGGGATGAGCTGGCTAGCGTTACATGATCCGCTGGTGGGCTGGCATCAGAGAGTGGTTTCTTTTGGTTCAGCACATTGCTTAGAACACTGCAAAGAGGGAAAGGGTTTGGCAGGAGCCCAAGCCACCCTAGCAGGGACTGAAGTAACGGAGAACGTGAAGGTACCACGACAATACGCAGATCTCCGCGACGTCTTCAGCGAAAGGAAGCTGACCAACTACCCCGCATAGACCCTTTGACTGTCAAATCAATTTACTCCCTGGGGCACAGCTCCCTGTAGGCAAGCTGTACGCCATGTCAGACAGAGAGATGCAGGAGCTAAGAGAGTTCATTGACAAGAACCTGAAGAGAGGGTTCATCAGAGAGTCCAGGGCGGTGGGGGCAGCCCAGTGTTTTTTGTGGATAAGAAAAACACGAACAAGCCGAGGCTGGTGTGTGACTTCAGGGCCTTAAATGCAGTGTCAGAACCAGTGGCCTTCCCTATGCCCAGGATTGACGACATTTTGACAAGGGTGCGGAAGGGAAAGATTTTCACAAAGCTGGACCTAAGGGGGGCGTACAACCTGATACGAATAAGGAAGGGGGATGAATGGAAAACCACCATGTTCACCCCTTTAGGGGCATTTGAATATTTGGTTATGCCCTTCGGCCTACAAGCAGGCTCCGCAACCTTTCAATCGTTTATGAACCACGTCCTGGGGCCTTTGCTTTACAAGAATTGTGTGGCCTTCTTAGACGACGTGTTGGTGTATTCTGAGAATGAGGAGCAGCATGTGAAAGACGTCAGAGAAGTGTTGAGCAGGCTGCAAGCCAACCAGCTGTGGGTGAAACTGGAGAAGTGTCAGTTTCATACCAAGGAGGTGGAATTCCTGGGGTATCGCCTGTCAGACAAGGGATTGGCCATGGATCCCGGCAAGGTCCAGGCGGTGCTGGAATGGAAAACACCCAAAACAAGGAAGGATGTGCAGAGGTTCCTAGGATTTGGGAACTTCTATCGTAAGTTCATCCGAAACTTTGCCCACCTGACGGCGCCCATTACGGACTGTCTCAGCAGTAAGAAGAAGTTCGTTTGGACTGAGGAGGCGGAGCGAGCATTTGAGGAACTAAAAGGGCCTTCACCTCGGAACAACAAATCCTGCATGTGGATTTACAAAAACCGATGAGAGTGGAAACTGACGCATCAGACAGAGCGATTGGGGCGGTGCTTCTGCAGCCAGGGAAGGAGGAGTCAGAGTGGAGACCGTGTGCTGTTATTTCGCGAAAGCTGAACAAATCCGAGAGGAACTACACGGTGTATGACCGAGAACTACTAGCCATTCATGAGGCGTTCCGGAGATGGAGGCACCTGCTAATTGGCGCACAACATAAGGTGCAAGTGTGCACTGACCACAAGAACCTAGAGTATTGGAGGACGGCACGAGTGCTCAACCAACGGCAAGTGAGATGGGCCCAGGAGTTCTCCAAATTTAACTTTGAGATTGGTTACGTGCCAGGCCCAGAGAACATTAGGGCGGACGCTCTCTCACGCAAACCTGAATATTTGGAGGGAGGGAGCACCCGAAGAGAGACATGTCATTCCAGAGGACCGCTGGGTGTGTGGGGCGGCATTGGTGGGACAAAGAGAACTGGTAGAGGAAACGGAGAATGATGAATACGCCCAGAATAAGCTCAGAGGTCTTAGGGGTGAGGGAGAGGAACCAGGGGGTTTCGAGGAAAGAAATGGAACTTTGTAGCTTGCTCGCATGCAGTTACGGCGGAAGAGACAGCGAAGTTATTTGTAGAACACATTTTTAGGTTGCACGGGATGCCATTGAGGGTGGTCTCAGACCGAGGAAAACAATTTACTTCCAGGTTCTGGAGGAAGCTCATGAGCTTACTGCAGGTGGAGGTCAATTTTTCGACTGCCCGGCACCCTGAAACCAACGGGCAGGCGGAAAGAGCAAACGGTGTCCTCCAGCAATACCTGAGGTGTTATGTCAATGACAGAGAGAATGACTGGGTAGAAAAGTTGGCGCTGGCGGAATTTGCCTACAACAATGCCGAGAATGTGTCCACAGGGATGAGCCCCTTCTTGGCTAATTATGGGTGTCATCCCAGGGCTTTCCCAGGGGAGATGGGGAGAGATGGAGCGTCCCGGCAGCCGAGCATTTTGTGGAAGAAATGGAAGCAATCCATCGTCAGCTCCAACTCAACTTAGAAAGGGCGAAGGAAGAATACAAGAGGCAGGCAGACAAGAACCGAAGGGAAGGTGAAACCATAAGGGTGGGAGATAGGGTGTGGCTGTCAACCCAAGGGCTGCCGTTCAAAGGAGGTTGTAAGAAATTAAGACCCAGGAGGTTGGGTCCCTTTGAGGTCATTCAACAGGTCAACCCAGTGGCTTTCAGGCTCCGGTTACCCAACCACATGAAACTGCACCCAGTATTTCACAGGTCGTTACTGTCACCGTACGAAGGGGACGAGAAGGATGGCCACTCGGGGACCGGTCATAGAAGAAAGAGAATGCAGCAGCCATGTGGCAGAAATCCTCGACGCCAGGTGGAAGGGGGATCAGGTGGAGTATTTGGTAGCGTGGGAAGGAGAACCGGAGTCAGAAAACACTTGGGTAATGGCCGAAGATATCAATGACAAGGTATTGATAGAAACGTTCCATCAAAGGTTCCCAAGGAAACCTCAGCCTGTGGAGAGGTTCCGGAGGGAATACTTTGGGACCACTGATGAGGAGGAGGAGTTGGAAGGATTCCCGGACTCGGAAGGGGAAAGGGAGATGGACTCTGAGGAGGAGGAGTACTTCGAGACCAGGAACCGCAACAGGTGGAGAGAAGTGTTCGAGACATCGGAAGATGAAGGAAGTTCATTCCGGGTTTTGCCTCCTCACCGCCCGTAGAGGAGGGGGCGAGAGGGGGTGAAAGGGGCCCTGGAGGGGAGGTGGATGTCAGGGAACTGCCATCGGAAGGAAGGGAGGTGAAAGGGCTCACACAGGTTGGGAGAGACTCATCAGCTGAAGAGGGAACCAGTAGGGGGAGAGGAGCTGAGCTGAGGGAAAGTGAGCTGGAGGGATGGCTCAGAGACACTTCCAGCGAAAACAGTGGGGAGGTTTCAGGACCTCCTGTAGGAACACCCACTCCTCGCCGGAAACTGTCACGCAGAGAGTCCAGAAGACGTGTTTCCGTTAAGGAGCTTTTATGTTGGAAGCGATTCCAAAGCAACCACTGTCGGAATCTGCTAGTGACTAGAGGAGCCATGTCTGAGGGGCTCCGTCACAGACAGAGGTTTGTGGACTTGAACAAACTCTGAGGGGATACTATTTTACGCACAAGCAGCTCCTCATCCCATCACAGATACATATAAGTTAGCTTGCATCAATTTCGTTATAACATCAAAAGAGCCCTGCTTGATCAGACTAGAGACCTACTTAGTCCAGAATCTTGTTCTCACAGTGAGAAACCAAATGCTAATGAGAAGTTTACCAGAAGGAAATGAGGGCAATAACACTCTTCTTGCTTATGTTCCCCAGCTGCTAGTGTTCCAAGGCATAACACTTCTAGTACACAGCTTTCATGGCTATTAAGCATGGGTATTAACCATCCATGAATCTTCTAAGCTGCTCAAGTTGGTAGCCATCACTAAATCTTGTGGTATAGAAATCCAGTTTGTGCTGTGTGAAGAAGTACTTCCTTTTTTCATCTAAAATCTTCCAATATTCAGCTTCACTGGATGACCCCAGGACCAGCTTCTAGTGTTGGGGGGAGGGGACATATCTCTTATCATTTTTTCTCTATATCATGCATACACACCTCCATTGTGTTCCCTGTTGCCTTTTTCTAATCTAAGAAGTCCAAAATGTTGTAAGATATCTTCACTAGGGAGTTGTTTCAGTACCTTTTCTGCACCATTCCAGCTCTTCCAGAACTGTACACAATTTTCCAGGTGTGGTCACACAATAGATTTCTTTAATGGTATAATGATATTGGTAGTTTTATGGAACACATAATTCACAATTTTCACAGATGTCACTCACTAGGTGAACATTTTCATTGGGCTATTCACCCAACCCCAAGATCTCATTCCTGGTTAGTTATCATTTCATACCTTCTTAATGTATATGAGAAGTTAGGAATTTTTGTTTAGATGAACAGGCAGAGTTGACAGACAGAAAGCCCTTTCCTGACACTTAAGTATCTCTGTGTTTTCTTCAGCTGCCATGAGTCCAAAAGGAAAGAGGGAAAGTAGGCAAAACCTGAATGAGAACAAATTGTGTCAATTCAGACCTTAGATCCCAAGAAGTATCAATTTTAGTTTATTTTTTGTTGTACAGAACTTATATACCACTTAATATTTCAAAAATATTAAAATATTTCAAGAATCTCTAAGTGGTTGTACATTCTAAAACAAACAGTATATTATTAAAACAACAATGATTTTTTAATAGATGGGGCAACCAAGTATGCCTGGATTTCAGTGTATTTCAGGACTTCCAACCTAGCAGACTCTTCTGCACTGCCACTGGCTTTCATGCATCAATGTTGTAGCAATTTACACAAACACACACACACGGTCCAATAAATCCATCTTATTTTTTCTAAATTCCATGTTACCTGAATAAACAACCCTTTCTAAATGCAAAATGTTTTTTTCAACTGTTCTGTCTGCGTCAGAAATGGAGTCCATCGATTTCTGAGGAAGCCAATTATTGTGGTAGCAAGACATTATGATTGCTATTAACTATGATATTGTATGGGCAGGGGCATCATTGGTGCTATTAGTTAATGTGCAGGCTAATATCGACCATCTGTTTTCAGGCAATAAATATAACAATGTTAGACACAGGTGTTTGTTCAGCATTTTCTTTTGACAATTGCATGACGTGAGTTCATCCTGAAAGTTGAAGTCTGCTTAACCATAGGTATTAGGATTTATAGTCATGACTTTAATCCAACTCTAGCTCAAACTTGTATTGAGATTGCATTTTTATAACTTCAGTTTAGAGAAACAAAATATTAATCTCATGTAAATAATTAGAGGCAGGAGAGAAGCTGATTTCTAATATTAAACTGAATCATGTTTCTCAATAACTAAATATTACCAACAGAGGAATAGCTGTGGCTCAAATGAAAGTGATTTAATGCCCATTCCCCTGAACACACTTTAATGTGTGACCAGTAAGCATTTACATTTTGGCTAAATCTCGCTGCTGGCTTGAAAATATATATTTGACCTAAAAAATAGTATGTCTGTCTGTCTGTCTGTCTGTCTGTCTGTGTCAGTTCATGAAACTACTTGATAAGTGTACAAGATGGAGAGCTGAGCTTGGGGTAGTCTCCAGACAACCTTTTATTGTGCATTCCTAATGATTTGTTCTCACAATTATATTGGGGCAATTATATGTACTCCAGTTATAAATAATGTTTGCACCTACAATAGTTTTGGGTGGTCATACTGCTTCATTTCCGATTGGTGTATGTCCTGTAGCTTCCTGTTGAAATCTCGAATCTTTCCTGGAGTGCCCCTCCAGATGGCAAGAATGCAGTAACACTGGAGAAACATCCACAAAACAATTAATAAAGTGGAATAGGGTGTTGACAGTCCAGTAGCCATGTAGTGTTCTTGTGTCAATGACATGGTGCAGAATACACCCATAAAAAGGTGTGGTGGGGACTGTCAGCTAGGGAAATCTGGCTTTAATTCCATGCTCATATATAGATCTTCCTGGTGGCTTAAGGAATGTATCTTAAGCAACCTCAAAAGGCTGCAATGAGATAAGATAAATGGAGAAAGAGCAAGATGAAAATGTGACAGATCGGAGACTAAAAGAAGTTCAGATATTGTTGTGTCATGACAAGTCCCTTAAAGACAACCCTCATGTGTGTTAAACTTAATGAGAATAGGGTAGACAGATGTCCCCACAGGCCGTGCTCTCTTCCCTCAAAACAAATATTTCCTTCCTCTGCCATAATCAATCAGCAATTTGTTGTAGCCTCTGAGATGTCACAAAGGGGGATGAGAAGGAAGAGAGCTGCATAGTTTGCCTTATAAACGTATTATATATGTATTCCCTACTCCAGCCACAAACTCCCACTTGGAATTTGCAGAGATCTGAGCAGACATCAAGACGAATTGCTTAGGAGCCAAGGGGCTCAGGAATCTTCCATGCCATATTTCAAGGTCTGCTGCCGGCTGGAAGTGTTTGGGAGCCATTGTAATAAGTAAACCACATATATAATTCTGTGCATAGGAGACTAATGATTTTATTTCCTTGAAACGTGAATGAGAAACATTGTCCGTATATTTGAGGAGAAAAGACCAATTAATTCCTCTACATATTTGCAGTAACGTTCTAATTAATGTTTTTTTGCAACATTTAAATACACCCAAATGCATTCTTGATTAATAGGGTGCTGATTCCATTTTGAGAGAAATGTTTCTTATGAGTCACAACTTGGTCATTCCTGCATTACTATAATTACCCAACGACTTCCACCACCCCTTCATTTTACTGGGATGCTAGAAGTGTCAGGCAGTGGCTGGCTAGGTCTCTCGGCTAAGATATGATCCATATTAAAAGAGTGGATGTCAGATCCACAGAGGTCCTGCATTAAACTGGTGAACCTACCCGTGTTCTGCCTGTGCCAGCAAAAGCATTTTTTGGATCTAACCTCTTCAATTGGTAAGCAGACATTTCATAGAATCATAGAGTTGGAGGGCAACCCGGGGATCATCTAATCCAATTCCCTGAAATGCAAGAATATGCAGCTGCCCCTTAGGGGGATCGAACTTGCAACCTTTGCATTATCAACACCATGCTCTAACCAACTGAGTTATTTGGGACCCTAACTGATGGGAAGCAACTAGAAGAGTTTCCTTACAATGTGCTCTTGTTCCCTGAATGCCAGTATATGCTGGGCAAATCAGGGTGTCAAATATTATAAGCGTGGGGCTATTTCTAGTGATCACTCATTGTCAGCAAGAAGATTTTGAGACTATTTGTTGGTGTAACACTTATAAAAATGGAAAGTTCCCATCATATATTACTCGTGTGAAGGAGGTCCATGCATAGAATGGGGCACACAGGCCTCACCTCAACACAGCCCTCATATTAGGCCCCAGATATAGCCCTATTTGGGTATGTTACTTGTGGGTAAAGGCTTTTGCACACAAATAGACCAAGTGGGGACAAGTGCTCTAAGCTCTGCACCCTGCTATGTTGCTGTACTTGGTGCTCTCCACAAGTGGCTGAGTGACTCCACAAGTCTGAAGTGAGGAACTGCCTGAAAAAATGGGGTTCTATATCACATAGGGATCCTTCACAAGTGGTTGAGCTTCAGATTTGGCTCTTCAAGTCATGCAGAGCGACAGGCATAGTATACAGGACCTTAGCACATTCAGCCCCACTCATTTGTAGTCTTTACAAATGAGTGACATGCCCCAATATAACTTACATGCTTTCTAATCACTTGTGATTTGGTATAGTTTCCTAAATATGGGCCTGTGTCCACAGTACAGGATATTTTATACTAAAAATGAATAGCTAGATTTTAACATTTGACTAATTGTTTAACTCAGAAAATTCTTGATTCTGAATAAGCTGGATGGAAATGAATGAATATTTATTTAAAATATGTATAGCCTGTTTTACAGCCTCTAGAGACTTTCAAAGCAGCTTACAGAAGATTCTTAACATAAAATTGCACTCAGATCTAGCACAGGAACAAAAATTGCATGGTGCCCGTATGGAACTTGCAGCATTTCCAGACCTCATCCTTGCTGTTCCCTAATGTCATACAAGGCAGCAACTTCCACCAAAATTTTCTGAGGCAAGGGAGCAAGGCTGAGCAGATGGAAATCACTCAGCCCATGATGGGCACAGTCTTCCTTTCCTGGCAGTTGAATAATGTATCATTCAAGATTGGTGTTCAAAGTCCGCATGTTGACAGTGAGTGATTGGTCTGCTAAAGCTTTATAGACAAAGAAGAATATTTACTACCTTCTTTGTATTGGTCAGGATATTACCTTCTAGAGCAGAAGAAATAACCTCTCCTTATTGAAAACTAAATGATTTTTCCATTGATATTAGCTTGTACCACTTAAAAGCCAGGAGATTTATTATCAAATTACGAGGAAACAGAAACCATTCAATTAATACTTGACACTGATGGTCACATGTTTCCAGGGCTTCTTCACATACAGTTCACTTAACTTTTAATTTATGGAATATATTATGAGAAAAATGCTTGACACAAAGATTTCTCCAGAAAGGAATTTGAAGGGAGTCAATTATTTGCACAGATTTTATATGACTTAAAAATGATTTCCCATCAGAGATTGATAAACTTCCTGCCATAAAATTAAAGGGGAGAAAATTATATGAAACATGTTCCACTTCTTTACACAATCTAATTGAGTGTTGTTTTCTTACTTCACATCACTGTGCGAGTGAGATTATATGATAAGCGATTTTTGAAGAAATGTGAGCTGTAATGGAAACACACCAGTCCTTCCATTTTCAGCACACATAACTTGAATATTCTTTGACTTCCTAATCAATGCCAAGATGTGTATTTAACAGTGTTTGAGTGGGACTCAGCATCAAAACCCAGATCTGGATTTTGAGCTCTCAACTTGTAAGTTCCAACATAAAGTTTTAAATTTTAACCTGTTGCATAGGTGAGGACTATATACAAATGGTGAATGTAAGTTTTGAATCTAATCTTATCCTCCAACTCATGCTTCAGGGTTTTCAAACCACAACAATTCACTTCACAGCACTTTCAAAAATCTGTTCCATATGTACTATGATCAACGCATACAATAATTTAATTAAAAAAATAAAATGATACACCCAATAACTCAAAAGCTGTCACAATGACAATAAATTGGGAAATAATAGCTGAAATATTTCACACTTTGCTTTAATTCTAGTCATTGTCATAGTAAAGGATGCCATGCATCTTGTGCTTTCAGAATCTTTGTCATTTAGTAGACCAATCAATCAATCAATCATTTTATTTGTACGCCATCTTTCCAAAGTTGAAGCCATGTCCAAGGTAGTTGACAACATATTTTTAAAAAATGCATAGCTACAAATATAACAAAAGGATAAACAAAGCACAAAAAAGTACACAACCAAATTAAACAGCTTCCACATAAATCATAAGATCCAAAATAAAGATACAAAAAGTAGCATCATTAACAATGACCCTACAACAAAAACCCATAAACAAAACCCCTGCCCAATATTCTGTTCAGCAGCCTCAGCTTTCGTAGCTGAAGTCAGTCAGGGCAGCAAGCAGGTCCTCCAGGATTAACACCCAAAATGCAAGTTTTGGTTATGAAAGAGATAAGATTGATTTCATCCACAATAAGTATTAACCAATGGTATTGTCTTGTCTCAAAGGACAAAGGACAGTGCAATATGAGCTAGTTTTTCCGGTGTCTTCCTTGAATGACAGACACAAAGGCAATCCTCATAATATTCCAATATTCATATTTTAAAGGACACTTGTATGTCTATTGCACAATTTCCACATGTAGTGGAAAATAATCACTGGATGAACTGAAGAAAAAATTTCCCGCATAAATGGAGTACATTAATGACCCCAAATAGGCACCCGAATTTCTCAAGGACAGTATAATGACAAAAAATATGGTGTACAGTACCATACTTAGTAACTAGAGCCACAGATTGAGGATCTTTAAAACAAAAAAGTACAACAATAACTTTGACTTAGAAAAGCAATCAAATAATGAAATCTGTTGAAATATGTGTGTTGACCAAATGTTTCTGATTAATTTTGAAAACTGTTGAATATAATGTGCTATTACCATAAATTGATATACCAGAAAAGCAGATAGTGGTTCTTATCAGAAGGTGTATTAACCTACTAAAACTGAGGGTCAAGCAACTGGATACTTTTAACACTTTCTTCAATTAATTAAGCGGGAGGTATTTTCTCAGAGAAATTGCTGAAGACTGGAAGTCAGCTGGAAATTATTCAAAAGTTGCAAAGGTCATATTAAATGTACAGCCTCTCATTCCCAGTGACATATATTTCAAAAAATAGACTTACTCCACAGCCAGAGCAGCTTAAATTCTAAAAGTATTAAGAAAAGTGGTAATCTACACAATTAATAATATGGCTCCTTTCTCTCTCTCTTTTCTTTTCCTTTACAAATTGAAGTGAATCAAGAGATTTAAAAGAAGAGAATTTAGTTCTATTGAACGTACTGTAATGTTCTGTGGCTAATACAACAGACTTTTATTGCTTGGTTGGGAAATGGCTCCTTTTTGCACCTCAAGATTTGTTTAGCTTACAGCTCCCATCTCAGCTCTCTCTCTATTACAGTCTCTGTTCCAAAAATATACTTCTGTTGGTCTTTCCACATAGAGATATAGCATACAGTTACATTATCCTATCTGGGCAATGGGACAGGTGCGCTACCTACTTGTAGCATCTTTTGTGAATCATGAGCAATTAGTCATTACATCCCAAACAAAACAAAGCACAGCCAAGAATGTATCAATAAGCCTCATACCAGATGATAAACCTCACACAATTGTGCTTCCAGTTCTTTGTTTAATGCCAATCATTCTGATTGCTATTATGCAGCTTCTTTATAATTGCCAAGATGAAAATGTCAATATATTTTGTGACCTGTTCTGAGCATGGCTTATTGATCTTGTATAACAGCATTTGCACAGATCTGTTTAGAAGATCAATAAAGGGCAGAAGAGAAGGGTGGAGAAATAAAATTGCATTGTGCTATCCTATTTTACATTGTCATTGGGCACAGGGTGTGTGTTTCAGTGCACAACTGAATTTTGTTTGCTTGATTTATGTTTGGCCCTTTCTCCCATTGGGGAGCTTAGCTTGGAAACATGCATAAAAACGGATATCCATACACCCACTGAAATTAAAGCCAATTTCATTTGAGCATGAGTTGAAAAAAGCAGTTTTAGAAATATGTGTCAACATTATTGATTAGCATTGTGCATTGACTTGCCTATTTCATACTAAACTGTGGGCCAGCTGTTTGAGAGGCCTAGACCCATCAAAAATTTGCTTGGAGTTACAAAGTGTAAGGCTGACTCCAATATGAATAAGGTTGCTGACATGATTGAAGATTAATCAATCTAAATTTCTTATTTTTAATATGTTTAGTTATGAGTACACAATCACAACAAGGCACTGCCCTGGTGCAAGATCATCCAAAATTAATACAGGATAGTGATTGGTGAATTTAATAAATTGGTGGTCTTAATAAAGGAGCTGGAGGTTTTTCCATATGCGTTTTCATTTATGCTCCAATGCCGAATTAGAGAAAAATCTTTCCCTGACAATAAACGGGGAAGGGGATGAATTCTGCATGAAATTTCAGGTAGCATTTTCAGCATCATTCCCCTGTTCCCTGCCTTATTTGTGGACCTCCATCATGTGTGCATTGTGTGAAGGAGGTAATAATGTGTATTTTGTGTGCCATGAAAAGCTCTGTCTGCTGATATCCTCAGATCAATCAGCTGCTAATTGATCTAAAGGCAAAGGAGAAGACCAGACCATTTCTTACTAGCGGGATCATAGCTGAGATCAAGTGGCAGGATTGAAGAGACCCAAAATCAAATCTGCACTGAGCCATGAAGCTTATTAGGTGAGCTTGTGTCAGTCATTATCTCTCAACGTAACATATCTCTTGGGATTGTTGTGACTATGAAATAGGGGGAGGGGCAGGGAAAGACCATGGGTGCTACCTTGAGCTCCATGGAGGAAATGTGTGGGATATAAATACAATCATTAATCATAATCATCTCCTAATTAAAATAGTCTCCTGACATTTCATTCTACATATGATAGCAGACCAACATGACAGAGGAAGCAAACCATGGTTTGTTCCTCTTGGATACGGTGGCTGGATTACGCCTACCCTTCTTTTCTACAAAGTTCAAGGAATCCAGACATATGTGAGTGACTTACTCTGCACCCTACTCCTTTTGTACACAGCCACCACAAGTACTGTATTTTTCACTCCATAAGATGCACTTTTTCCCTTCTAAAAAGTAAGGGGAAATGTGTGTGCGTCTTATGGAGCGAATGCAGGCAGCTCCCTTTAAAGAGCCGCGCAGAGCATGTGTGCAGCTCTTGGGAGCTTTTCCGTGAGGTGGGAGAAGGGACTGCCCTCTGTCCCTTCCCACACCTCCCGGAAAAGCCAGCAAGAGCCACTGCTCAGTGCTCCCTTGTAAGGGCTCCCTTTCGTCCCTCATCCCACTTTGCTAGGAAGCCAGCAGAAGAGCTGCTGTGCAGCTATTGCTCTTGGTCTGCTGGCTTCAGCGAGAGCTGCGCAGCTTGCTCTGCTGGCTTCTCAGCGAAGCGGGAGGAGGGACGGAAGGGTATAAAGCAAGAAAAGCGAGAGTCGCTTACATGCTCTGTGCAGAATATTTTTTTCTTGCTTTCACCCTCTAAAAACTAGGTGCGTCTTATGGTCAGGTGCATCTTATGGAGCGAAAAATACGGTATCTTCTCCTGTTTGGTCATTTATTAGCCCTCGCAAGAGCAAAAGCACTTCCAACAAGCATTTTCCCCACCGCCACTATATTCAGTCATCAGATCTGCATTTCTTAAGGATTTTCCGTGTCAGGTCTGAAGAAAAAACATTTTTGCATTAAGTACTTTTGCATTAGACAGGTACTAATGGTCAAGATCAATGTGAACTTAGGCTCCATGCTCAGTTTTACAAACGATGCCCCTCTACCTTTTCATTTGGCAAACCCATGGCCCTGTACTCTTGTCTGCTTTCCATTTCTTTTCTTTCTTTTCATTTCTGTCTAAGCTAAGAACCTAAAGGGAACCTGAAGCCCAGTTTATTGGCATTCCAGTCTGTCCAGTTCTCTTTCTCATTTTCTTGATCTCACCATTCAAACCTCATTTGGCCTACACCCAAGTTATTTACATTTTGAGTTACGCAGTTGTACTTAAGTCTCCATTAGTCTGCTGAATTCCTAGTACCCTCCTCTCTTCCTATAGGACAAGAGTAATCCCCCCACACACATCTCTCTCTCCTCTTCTCCATAGAACTAGTCAGTTGAGCTGGTAGACCAGGCAGAATGTTATCAGGATAAAACCTTGGCATGTATATCTGTAACTATCTACTAACTGCTTCTGTGTTTTTCAATAAATACAAACCTTTATTTGTTCATTTTTATCGAAGTTAGAGTCTGTGTCCTATTGCTACTCTCCACTGTCCACCCCCTGTATTGGTGTACCAGGCAATAACCCCATGGTCCATCATGACTCTAGGCCCAAGCGCTTGGAAGCCATGCCTTCCATGTGTGCACTTTCATGCATATGGAATAGATATTAAAGTGGTGGGAAATATTTTTGCCTGGCTGGAGCATGCCCTTGAACCCTGATAATACAATGTAACTCTGATACGTTAGCCTCCATTACAGCAGCAGACTGCTAGAGCGTGCTTGATAGAGATACGGCCTAGTGTTGCGTCTGTATAAAAGAGGGACTCTCTCACAAATGGTGAGAACTAGATGAGGATGGAGAGGGGTGTTTGATAGCTAGCCTGAGACAGTTCACTGTGCAATTTTGTTCATTAACATTATATTAATGCTCCTATTCAAATCACCTACATGCAAATAAAAGTTCCTTCATGATAGGATATGATATGCTATCAAGCTATAACTTGCTATCAAAAGCAGCATCCTTCTGCATACTTATTCACCTCCTGTTTTACATTTGCATGTTTGACCATTTCAGAGATACAGCTAAAAGCAGCACACAAGCCAAACAATGGGAGTGTTGATTGATGTCCAAGGATCTCTTTTAACAAGCAAAGGGAAACAGACCTCATCATTCACCTTTTTTCACATAAGCACCTCATTAGTAGAGACCATTCTGTACAGACAGTTTTACAATTGGGGGAGGAGAGGCTTCGGCCGCTGTTTGCTGAGCAGATCCCAACAGACTATTTTTAAAAGAAGTAATTACTTTGAACAGGTTCACTGAGAGGGTAACTGGAGCCCAGGCATACTATAATTTTAACTTCCTCCTTTTCTCTGACAGACATCTGCATTCAGATGGAGCTGAACCATATTGCAGTTGACAACCTCATCCCATGCTTGCCTCCCCTGCTTTTGCTTCTCCAGATAGATAGTACTTCGACCCAGCAACACAAGAATTCCAGGCTATTGTGCATAAAATGTGCTGATATTTCAGCCCACCTCCCCACAGTCCATCCATCTACAGGGATAGCTAATGTGTTGCCCCCCAGATGATGTTTGTACACAGCTCCCATCTGACTATTTCCATATTGGCTACAGCTGATGGGAGCTATAACCCAAGATCATTTCCTACTGCTGATCTAGGATTTCAGGTTTATCTGTGTTGAGAAATGTTGCTGGAAAGAATTAGTGTTTGTTATTAAATTAGCTAAATGGGCTAACTTCATAAGAATAAACATCCATCCTTTACAGCATCTTTGAGATGCTGCTTCCTGGCTGTTGTTGTGTGTGTGTGTGTGTGTGTGTGTTTCCTTTTGGTTTTCTTGTGACTGCATCAGTAATAGTCAACATGATGCATTCCAGATGTTGTGGACTACAACTCCCAACAGCCCCATCCATGATAGATGATGCTCAGAGACACTGGAATCCATGGTCCACAACATCTGTAGATGTTGCCTACACCTGTACCACATAGTTAATGCCAGAAGCTAACACTTGCCAGACATCAATTCTCATTTTCCTATATTTTATACATTTGGAGGACAGTGGTTTTAAAGTGGCAGAACTTTAAAAATGGCTGCTGTCCTGTGAGAGCACTGCCCTGAAAAAGGAGCCCCCAAATTTTACTAATAGAAGCAGCCCCCCAGTTTGTTATATGTTAGGACTAGTCCTGAAACACTGTGGTTGTATCCTGTTGGAAACCCAGTTGTCCATATGCTCCAGACAAATGATTAGTCACATGTTAAAAGTAGCCAATATGTTGGAAACATTTTCAGCCCCCATGAAAACCAAACTATTGTGCATGGGGTGGGAGAAAGGACATTGGTCTTACCAAAGAAACTTAAGGAAGTACATTGCACATCACTGACCCAAGAACTAGGCATCAATATTAGAAGTAGCACAGTGAAAAGGGGAAGGGGACAAAATTTCCCTACCTATATTTCTAAATAGAATTTTGCAGATACTACAAGACTTACGGTTGTATTTTCTTGTCACAGGAAAATGGCCCCATTTCCCTCACACTGACATGGTAAATGTTTCAGTTTTTTAATTTAATTTGACTTGATTTATTTGTTATGCAGATCCTAGAGAAGGATCCCTAAGCCCCTTAAATATAGATCAATATTCATCTATAAGAGAAGAACTGCTGTTGGATATAACCTGAATAATGAAGGAAAGAGATTTACTGCGGTTATTCATAATTATTCTGAAACGTTTTAAATGAGTTTAATTTTGTAAGTGAAACTACAGCTCTTGTAACTTTATACCTAATGTTTCATCTATTTATTCGTACAGAGCATTTGTCAATTTATTTTGAAACTATAATGTAATATAGAAAACAAAGAGTGAGGGGAAAAACAAATGAAATTACTTCCTAAATGATGTCCTTCTCAGAGAATATGGCACAAAACAAAGCAGCATTCCCACGTTCCAGCTGCCAAGAAAGTGGACATGCCACTTTAAGTTGTGAGTGACATTTTGTGGTGATAACCAGGTTGTGCACAGCAGCTAGCTGGATAGCTTTTCCTAAGACAAGCTATTGCCTCATGAAATGCCAGACTGTTGTGTGCCACTGCACACTCCAGGAAACGTTGACCTTTTAAAGTGGCCTCCACATGGCACCTAGAACATGCAAACTGGGCCTGACATGACAATATCTCCAACAGTGTGAAATGATTGACTGGATTCATGACTGAAAACACTGCATGGTCAGTAACGCTGCGGATAAAGCCATGAACTTTGAAATTACAGATGGGTCATACTGGTGGGCATATATCTAATTCATTTCACTGAGGGTGGGAGTACATCTCTTTTGGATAGAAGGGCATGGAAAGTGAAGAAACATAAGATCTGAAAGGTCAGGGAGAAAATGCACATGGGAGTTTTGTTGTTATTGCTTTTAAGTCATTGATGAATATGATCCCAGGAATGAGTTGAGTTAGCCAGACTCTGCATGGTCTTTGGGGAAGGCTCAGCCTCCACATGAATCTCTACTAAAGGATTTTTTTTATAAAGAGCTGATATTAATCTTGCAGTTGTAAGAGTCTCAAGTGTGAATCTGAAAGACTTTATTGCAGTGCATAAAGGCTGCAACCAATCTGCCTCAACCACTCTTCTGTTAAGTCCCAACAGGCCGCTTGCTAACAGAACACTAAAGTTGGAGGCAATTAGCCAAAGTTTACAGAGTCAACTTCACCACATCATGTCAGGATTTTACTTAAGGCAGTTTTGTTTAAATGCCTCCTCAAATGAGTTTTGTATAAAGGGAGGAAATGACCAAACCTGAGAGAAACGTTGGTTTGATAATAACTGCACAATCATGTTTCTGTCCGACAAGCTATTCATTGCAGATGTTTAGTGGTACCTGGTGTTTTTCATTATTGTTTCACACGGTATTCTTGGTAAATGGACAGAACCAAAATGAGGAAAGTGGATATTTCTCTAAATTGCTCCCCTTTCTCGAATAGATTCATATTGATTTTTGCAAATGCATCTTCAAAAACAAACAATCTGTTTCTGCCGGTTTGACCTGCCAGTCACCACATATTTAATTGCCTTACAGAAAATGTCAAAGGAGATAGAAAGAATGGCTTTGCTAGATGAAACTGAGGATAATTTTTTTAGCATCTCTTTTGGCTATCTGCCTCCAGCAGCAGAAATTTCAAGAGTAAGCAAATGTCTCTTCCCACTTTTATCACTTTTGTTTCAAGACTCCTGATCTGAAACATTTTTTAAAAAATAAAAGGAAATCAGCTTTTGTATTTGCACA